GTAAAAATTTAATACAATGTTCCTGATATATTGTTACAGTAGCAATTGAAAAATATTAAAAATACATAGGCACAATTTTTTTTTATAATCATTTAAACATCGAACTTTGACAAAATTTATCAAAATCTCGAAAATTATCAATCATTGTAATTTATGAATAATAAATTATAAAATGTTCAGTTTTTATAGCTAAAGATTGCAAATTTAAAACAAAGGTTTTCATAAATAGTTCATACTGTAACCAAAAAATGTAAAAAATATATGAACACAGTTATTTTTTACAGACATTTAAAATTCAAATTTGGACGAAATTACATATTAAAATCAATATTAACGATCTTGGTTTTTTGTTGTAATTTAAAAATATTAATCGGGGATATAATATGAAACTGAAAAATCAAAATATTATGGCCTATGAATACAATCTACCATAGTATAAGGAATAAGAAGTATGCTCATGATAAGACTGTGCGTATTTTAAGGAATTTATTCATAAATTCCATATAATTTAATACCATAGAAAAGTATACAATATGTCTTATACCTAGACTGACATACCGTCTCCGCTCAGAATCGTTTTTCTTATACAATGATATTATATCATTGCATTCAAATTTAATACCATCCATTATACAGTGACCCACTTGTAACGTACAGTACAGCAGAGCGACATCCACTTACCCACCTTTTTACAATTGAATATCAAAATTAAAATTGTATTGGTTATTTGTTTTTTTGGATAAAAGGTTGTACAGTAAGGTACTAAGCCACTAAAGGTGTACTTTTCTACAAGCCTATATAAAATATTTATCTATAGTTTATCAAAACAAAAAAAAAAATTTTGTGGAAATATAATTTTACCGAGGCCCATTATTTAATATTTGCCGGCCCCGGTGGCCCCAAAGAAAGTCCAGGGGCAGCATATGCTGCCTCTGCTGCCCCCGTGCTCACGTCTATGATACATATATATGCATAGCAACGCAATGCAAAAACATTGCGACAGTAGAACAAACCCTAGAAGAGGATCAATGTACCTACTTGAAAACAACTTAAAATTGTCGAGGTTAAATAAAAATCCATCGAAAACTGCAGTATCATTGTATCACCATATTACCTTAACAACAGAGCAGCAAATCAAGAGCTTACATTCAGCTTTCGTAACAATCAGTCTATTTAGGCAGTTGTACATCAGACAGGACTTTAACATACAAACACCACTTGGAGAAAACAATATCTAAATTGAAAACTAAAACTGCATTAATTTCAAGACTAGCCGAGACAACTTGGGGTGACAATACTCAGGTCCTTTGTAAATCATCCATGGCCTTGCTCTTCTCAGTACCTAGCTGAGTACTGCTCTTCGGTTTGGAAATAAAATACCCACTGTAGACTAGTAAATACGGAACTGTAAAAATTATTCGCATAATTACTATGGTACAGTACTACAGTCAAGTTTACAAAATTACAGTTGCTACCAGTTTCAGGATTTTGGCCGAAGACTGGTGACCAGGCTGGACCTCATACGCACCGGCCAAGGTAAGGTGTACCTATTTATTGTATACATATGGTGAATCAAGGCAGATCCTAATTGCAACTGTCGTGAAGACGAGCAAACTATGGAACACATAATAAACTATTGCGAAAATAGGAAATTCCGTGGAACATTGACTGATAAAAACGCAGCAACGGAGAAGGCAATTAAATGGCCGGACTCATTAGACGTCGACATCAGCTAACGCCATCCAGTACCAAAGACAAAATGTAATTTACCTGCTATCCTATAGTATTTCTTTCTCTATTTATTTATTATATTATATTATATATTTTATATTTGTTATTTTAATATTTGTATTCTAAGTACCCTGTTAACTATTAATAATATATTGTAATAAGATTGTATTAGGTACATTCAATAAAAGTCATAATAATATATATATTTTTTTATTTATTTAAAGTATAAACGTTTATTGAATAATTGAATCCTGCAACTCAAATAAAGTGTATAATTATTATTTTTCTGCATACATTTTTTTTTTTAATGAAATAGAAGGCACTCATATTTTTCTTCAAACATACACAGTTTAAAATGTTTTATATATTAATGTTAGGGTGAAACAATGTTGGATTCTAGTAGCTAAGGGTGACTTGAAACAAAAAAGGTTGAGAACCACTGCTCTAGATGAATATTTATTAGTAGCTATAGATTAAAAATGGATAACTTTTTTATGTTAGCCACCTCAGCCCACTGTAGTTCCACTTCAAAAATATATTACCTACACCTTTACTCCAACTTCTAAGCAACAGCATAAGCTAAAGAAAAAATAGGTAAATTCTAAATAGGTAGGTTGCATTATAATTATGACGATAATGAAATATTACTTATATTTTTAACATGCATACTATATCGGTCCACAAAATTATGTCAATGGTTTTTTTTTTTTTTTTTGATAAAAAAACCAATAAATGCAATTTTACAACACAATAAAATAATGTAATAAATTTAAGATTACATGCACATTGCACAGTATAGATAGATAATGAATATAAGATATAGAAGTTATTACACTCAAAGATAGGTAGATAATAGATATAAGTATATAGTTTACAAATAAAAGTTTCATAATAGTATAATTATATATTATTACATATCTAATAATAATTGTTTTAAATAATATTTTACAGGTGTATTTAGATAAAAAGATTATTATAATATATACTTATTCAATAATACAATCAAAAATATCAGTGCCCTAACATCGATGATGAAAATAATAAAATAATGCTTGAAACAAAATTTACTTTTTATAAAAGTAAGTAATATATTTTAAATGATATTAAATTACATTTGTTTAATCAGTTGAATACAACAATGTAAATACTAAATATTACCTACTAAATACTATGTATTTAAATTTTAATCAATGATCTTATTATTAAAATCATTTTTGAAATTACAATTTATTAATACCATTGTCCAATCATCAATAGAAAGAAAATTGTGTATTTGATGGTTACATATTCAGGTCTTATACTGTGATGTTATTATAACAGGTTTTAGTCTAAATAAAGTTACTTTAAAATACGTCAATAGGATCAACCACATGTATCAACAACTTAATTTTCCTAACAGAACTAATAAACAAATATATCAAAATTCCTTCATTTGTAACTTTATACTTTTTTTTTGTAAAATTTAATTGACATATGTATAAGTAGGTATATTTAGGTTTTTTTTGTAACTTGACTATCGCTTAAGATGTGAATAAATATTTTTAAATATATTACTAATTTAAGTTTTTATTAATGATTAAAATATAGAAAAGAATTAAAAAATATATGCTAACAAATATAAATGATTTTAATAAAGTTTTTAACGTATAACAGTGTAACAAAGCAACTTGGGTGCAGGGGACAACTATTAGTAGTAATTAATATAAATAATACAAGGGAAAAAATATTTTAATCATATTTAATTTTATTCTTACACTAAATTTTGAAATTAGAGGGTAAAAAACCACACAGCTCTTTAAATATCATACTAGTATTAAAACTAAATAAAATAATTGAAGATATAGTACATATTATTGAAATATGTGTAACCTATTGTCTATTTAAATTAATAGATATTGAAATCATATGAATAAAGATATGTTTATGAATATATTTTTTAAGAGATTGTAGTTATATTCAATACTTATATATCCTTAAAAGTTATAATGATCAGTTTTCATCAAATATAACAAAAATCTAGATGAAATAGCTCAAGAGAAAAAGACGTATAAATAAATAATTAAACTTAATGGAATTTAGTTAATAGGTACAACAAACCAAAAAAAAAAATAAATAAATAAATTTATTCTAGTTTATTATCACTTTTATTATAAAGAAAAATTACACTAACAACTTTAAATCTAATTAAATATTATTTATACAAAATAACAACGTTTTTAACCATATCATAACTGTGTTATAACAATCGCGCAAACCAATAACCCAAAAATCAATAATTAATGATCTAAGAATTAATTTTAATAACAATGCGCATTAAGCACAATGTGGTAATATTTTGAGCTATGACAAAAGTATAAAATAAGTATTGCACTTTTCTAAGGTAATAGTTATAATGATAATACGCAAGTGCACTTTCATTATGCAGTCTAATGTAAATAATAAATATTATACTAGATGTATTATTTTAGTAATAAAATACATAAAAATGTTATATAATATAAACATGCGAAAAAAAAAATATTTCAATTGTTTTTAATAATATATTATTAATAATTTGGTGTATAATTATGTATTATAATATTATGTAGAGAATAGGCAACAAATATTACTTTTTTTTTCCCATAAATTATAATTAATTTTATATCACGCTATGAAATAATGGTTTGATATTTGCTTCAAGAATCAACAATAATAAATATTAAATTTATAAATATCATTAATAAAAATAATAATTATGATTTGGTTAAATGTTTTAATATCTTCAAAACTTATATGTTTACATAAATCTTGATAAGTTTAATGAGAATTACCAAGTTATTTTGGATCTTTCTAAATAATAAATATTATTGCTGTATTTAATCCTAGTAATAGTATTAATATTAATGATGATAAAACTAAAAAATTTTAACAGTAAATGAAAATTTAATTGTTGGACCACATAACACAGCTATTTATCTCTGTAACCAAATTTGCTGCCAGCCTTTTATTCTTAAACAATATTAACAATAGTAAAAAAAAGCTAAAAATTATTAAACTATCTAATTTTATATTAATCAATAAGACATAAAAATGTATGTAAAATATTTATAACTATAATAATACATAACAATAATTCACGATAAATAAATTATATTTTTTTTTATAAATACAATTTAAAGAATTATCAAATTAAAAAAAAAGTTATATTTCTGATAGCTGTAGCAATAAATCAAAACAAATAGCCGTAGTAGTATAATAGCTGTTGTCCTAGCCATATTTTGCATATCGAATTACTTGAGCAGTTCATGTGCTCGTTGGTTCGCCACTGAAATTCTTGTTTCATTAGATCCAGCCTAAACAAAAAATAATTGCAAAAGTATAATAAAATATTAACAATTATGTGATATTAATTTAAACATGATATATAATGATATATAGGACCTTCTGTCTGCTATCTCTTTCCGCGTTCCTGTGCATTTCACTAGAAATCACTCTCTATACCTTGTCTCCTCTCACCGTACTAATTACTCCCATAATAATCTATTAGATAGAATGCTCCGCCTACTTAATAGCGCCTGATCTGTAGCTGACTATGTTGTTATTTATCTCTACTGAATGTTTTCGTCTTTAGTTTTATTTATGTACTCTTTATAACTGAACACTGTTTAGTATAAGTTTAAACTTAAGTCTATAATTATAACTACTGTTTTCCATGTATATTATTTCATTACTATCATTTCTTGTTAATCTACTAACTATTACAATGTATCCATAAATTGCCGTTTGGCCTTAAATAAATAAATAAAATATAGATATACATATTTTATTTGTTTGAAAAGTTTGAAGAAAGAGATTTAAAAATTATATCACACAGTTATGATACCTGTATATCAATAGTAAAATGTACTATAAAAAATAATTCTTCTAACGTATTGAAAATTTAATATTACTCAATCTTATTGAACAATAGAAATGTTGATTTTAAATTTATTTGATTTTATTTTAATCATGAACAATGGACATATACAAATATTCAAATATATTAAATGTAAACTCCAAACAATAAAAACCAAAAAGTACCTTCATGTTTATTCGTGAAACTTGTCTATTCTGATTCTCCAATTCACTTCCCATATCCAGTGCCATGTTACGAAGATTTCCAATCATAGTATTAACTTGACCCATATTTTCTTCCATTTCATTTTCTCGAGCGTCATTTGTTATTCTATTGATCATAGTAACATAAAAATAGAAAATACATCTTAGTAAATCTACAACCATTGACCTTACAAAATAAATAATATCAGAATAAATGGTATTTATAAAAAAAAGCAACAACTTACAACTAATAAAGAAATGTAATGTACATTTTTTTAAATTTTAAACAAAAAACTTATACATGTATATATGTATATATTATGTATATATATATATATATATAGAATGAAAATCTCCAAGGAATATTGTATGACCAGTATAGCTTAATCAGAGTAATTGTGCTAGTAGGCAGTTTATAATTTTAAACCGTTTCAATAATTTTAACTATTATTATAAAAGTACCTACTTTGCTATATAACCTCCTTGGGCACCCATTCCATTACGTTCATCCATCACACGCTGTGGTTGGTTGTTAACCACTTTTCCATCATCATTGCCTCGCCACGTACCTTCATCTTCTTTAAATGAAGCTGACCTTTTAAGTACACATTGGTATTAAACAAATGAAAGTCAATATTATACAAAAAAATATAAAATTTAATTTTTAACATACTTGTTACAAGGCAGCACACAAATTCCACAACATTTTTCCATGCCAGTAAGGTTCTTTTCTGCCTCTTTCATGTCAGCATTAATCTGATCCATGCCTTCTTCAATCCTGTCCAATTGTTCTATGATTTTTGAAATATTCACACACACATACACACACGCATAACACACACACAAATAAAAAAAATATATTAGACAATTAATAATAATAATATTTAATTTGAATAATAGAGTTGTACAAAAGTGTATATATTATTGTTTTTGTGTGTAGTGATTTTTCCTAAAAATGTGATAATTAAATTCTGAACTAAACGCGCAATGCTTACAGAAATAAAATATTAAAAGTATATCATAAGTTTAAATTGTTATTATAATTTATGAATAAATAATAATCGGTTAATAAAAATTGAATGTTCATATCAAAGAACATTACCGGCAGTATCATATTATTTGATAATTATTATATTGTTTTAATTTTGCATTAAAAACGTTTCCTCAGATTCGCATTTGTATTTAGTAAATAATTTTTTTTGTTTTGTACAAATTATGTTGTTGTTTCGTTAATTTTTGACATCAATAGATTATAATTATAGCTCAGTGGCGTATACAGATGTTTAATTTAATAAAAGTTACTGAATTAATTTGTTAATTAATTACCTTCAAACTGTTTTTGTTAAATTTTTTTTTTTTCTAACACAAACATATTTAAATAGCTGTTTTTCAGTTATGATTTAATTTGCAAATCATATTATAGATATATTAATACTAAATTATTTTTAACAACTTTCAAAATATGCTCTTGTGATAGGTCCCAATACGCCACTGAAAAGATTAAATTAAGTTTATTATACATTTAATTCTCAATAAATTATTAAATTTAAATTGCTTTAAATGTTCTATTAGGCATTAAAATTGACTATATTTATTAAAATTGTTTATTATTTATATTCCATCGACTATATTTAATTATTAATAGAGTTATAAATATGGATAATATTTAAATTATGAACATTTTTAGAATAATAAAATCCAACTCGATACCATTTATCGCGTCTCAGATTTTAGCATTAATATTATTGTTTTTATACTTTGTTTGTTAACTCGTTTTTTTTTTTTATTTCATAGCTCTTACCCCCTTGTTCATCCAACATCACTAGAGATTTCATCCCGACTTCATGGCTCTACACAAAAAAAAAAAAAACAACAACAACAATAATCACCGACAACAAAGCCTTTGTCGTAATGATCAAGATAGTGTGTCGATGTATATTTTATATTTATTGTCTTCTATCTATATATATATATATATATGTATATATATAAAATATGTATAAATATTAAATGTATTTTTAACTTCTACAGGGATTTTTATCTATCTATTATTTTTATAATATTATGTCTAAGACGATTGAATTAAAATGATATACAATATGGATTAGGTAATTTAAATATAACAGGACAAATAATAATCAACATTCAACAGTTAAGGTTTTATAAATAAACAAAAATAATTATGCCGAATTCATACAACAACAAGTCAACAATAACAACAACACAACAACTTAATTACTACTATAATAATATGCTATGCAAAACGAGGAAAAACGTTAAGTATTTAGGTAAAATTTAAATCTTAAGGAAAGAAATATACAGAGGTAAAATAATGAAAATAATTGTTTGTAGTTCATATTTCTACATAGTTACATTCATATTTTAGATTTATTCTATTAATTATACATCCCCAAATAATATTTTTATTTTTTAAGTTAAATACCTATACTATCATAATATTATTTGCCTCTAAGATATATTCTATAAACTATAACATCACAATTATAGCAGTTTATGCAGAATCAAATAAAAAGCAATTTTTTAAAATATCCTTAGGCAATATAAGTCTTACCGCCTTGTATGTGCAAATTTTCTACGGTTTTTGTGCCAACATCTACACTCTACAAATAAAATATAAAAATTAAAATAATAAACATCAATGCTAAGTACATATTGTGGAATAAAATAGACAAAATTAATAATAGTGAATAAAAGCAAAATAATTAAATAATATGAAAAATGTTATTGTAGCAACAAATAAATGACAATTTTTAAACTACTATTGTCTATTACCATCTATAATCATTAATCATCAAACAATTTAAATATTACTGTAGTAATTATTAAAATAAATAAATTATTATGTATATAATTAAAATCAAGCTTGAAAGACATAGTTATAAAAGGTATCTTTAATTAAGCAAATACACATTGTATTGAACTATACAAATCACTGATCAGCGCCCTTGCTTTTATAACAGAGTAAAAAAAAGCCCACGAATGCAACATTTTTCCTTCCTTCTTTTCATATATTAGTGTTATTACTTTATTAGTGTTTGTGTAATGATGTTGTGATCGATGAGATATATATATATATAAATATATTAAAAGTTATAAAAATATTGGTTATGTAATTTTATTAATATCTGTGAATTTGTGATTTTAGTGCTTGGTGAAACACGGTCGGTGGATAGATAAAACTTACCACCGCCGGTAATGCTCATAATTATTTATCATCATTAAGTTTATTTTCAATAACTTAAAAATAAAAACAAGTTGACACACAATGTGAGTAGCGCGCGTGCACTTTGGAGTGAACCATTATGATATAATATGTATGTGTACACTGTATATTTGGGTGTATGGGTGTTTATATGTATATATGTATGTGTGTATATGAGATTGTGTCCTTTAAAAGTAGACAAGATCCCGTAGCAACAGCAACGGCAGCAGCAACAAGAACATCAACTCACCTCCCTGGTCATCGAGTGCAACTAATGTCCTTATTCCAGCCTCCTTGCTCTATGATTGTAGTATTTGAAAGTAGAAGAGTGGTAGTAGTGATGGTGGTGGTAGGTGGTGGTGATCGTGTGGTGTGCGTGTGACAGAAAAAAAACCAATAATAATAACATTATATGAGAGATAGTGTAACCTATTCATTTTTGTATACATCAATTCTGGTGTGTATCATTTTTAATAATATTTGAAATTTTAAAAGTATATTCATATACTTTTTATTTGCTTGTGTATAATTAAGATTTTATTAGTTTATTTCTGTAAAATAATGTGTGTAAATTGGTTCTTACAGTATTAATATCTGTATTCATACTTGCAAATTGATAGTTTGCCAAAATGGTAGGTTAATACTTATTTTTCTTATAAATATACATGGAACAGTCTATAATGAACATTATAACTTTGATAAATATGTGTTAAACAAATATTGTTTTTTTTTGTGTATAGTTGTATTAGGAAAAAATATCATATTTTAAAATAGTTCAGTAGATACCGACTAAAATATTTTTTTTCATATCTTTGAAGTTGTAAGTACATTTTTATATTATTTTATTTATCTTTGTAACAATGTTTATTATAGGACACTGTATAAAGTATTTACATAAATGATGTTATACTATAAATAATATATATATATATATACAGGTGTCAGTCAAGTATCAATAACTCAGATTGCCCACAAAAAGTACAAGCCTAGTGATCACTTATTATTCCTGACAAGTGTTATACAATTAACAATTACGGATGAAGAAACGGCTGTCATTATATAAATAGTGCAATCACTTTATAAAAACTGCTATTTTCTGTAATATTTTTTATGTCTGTTGTATAGAAGTTTCATCATTCATGGATGATATTTTAATATTGTATTTCAATCCCAAAACACTTATTAAGAATTATTTTTCAAAATAATGAATTAGTCAATGTAAAGACAATAAAAAATAAATAAACATACAAGGTAATATGAAATTATTTAAATTATTATATTGGTCAATTCATAATTAGTTTAACACAAATGTTTTTATTTTTTCACAAAATTATGTGAGAAATTTTTTTTTTTTTGTGGACTTCCAAGTTATTGAAACTCAACTGTATTATACTTGTTGAGAATTATATTATATTATTTTTGTTTCAACAAACTGTTGTTGTAATATTATTTTACACTTTTTATATTAGTATGTATTTGTATGAGTTGGCATTTTGTGAACTTGTATATTACTGAATATTATTGTTTTCTAAATAAATAATTCACATGTGTTTGAAAATTGAAGAACGAATCTTATCAATTTTAAATTTGAGAATGTAACAAGCAAATAATGCACAAGACAAACACACACCGACATGCAGCAGCAGCAGCAGTAAGCAGCACCAGTAGCTTTATTATTTTACAAAAATATAATATATGTTATATTTTACACTCACACCTATAAACACAATTTTATTCATGATTATGTTAATATCGGATTTAATGAAAGAAAATATACGAGAACAATATTAGTAATATTACCCTCGTAATTTAGTCAACACTCAACATGTTGTGTTCATTAATAAAATAGTTCATTGCAGTACTATAAAATTCAAAAATAGTAAATATTTTTTGTAACAATATTGTTGCCTTAGTAAATTAAGCATTATAATTTAATATAAATATTTACATTTCTGAATTTTTCAAGTAACCACAAGTAAGAATTAAGAGTAAAATAATGATTAATTCACAATATATATATGTTAAGTAGATTAATATAATGGTTCATTAAACAATAAATATATTATACTAAATAGTCTTTAAATAATATTATCTTACCTCTTCACATAGAGCCAACATTCTTCTGGTACTTTCAAGTGACTATAGTTATAAATGGCAAAAAAATAATATTTTATTTAAATAGGTATAGGCACATCTAATGATAATAGACTTGAGAATAAAGGTAAACATAACGCACTTCATCTGTTACTTCTCCAGCTTTCATTTGCAGCTCTTGAAGTTCAGTTTTTGGTACGGCAGGCTGTGGTGCTCCACCATCTGGTGACATGGCTGGGTTTGATTTTGTTGGTGCAGGCATGGTTGAATTTTGAATGAGGTAGTTCTTTTTTAGTTTTGCTTGAGCTGTATAAAAATACAATATATTTAGTTATGATATTTCAATTTTAAATACATATTTATACTGCTCTTCATAAATAAAAAGAATTAAGAATATATTATATTCAATATTCAAATAATTTCCTCAATTACTAATTGGTAATTTCAAATAGAAATATCTTGTGATTTTTTTTTAAATAATAAAATGTATTGATAAATGTATAAATGTCACCAATTAAATATTTTAATTACCGTCATTAAATTATTATTTGGTAAATAAACAATGAAGTAATTTAGTAATTAATATTAATACATCGACAGTGGAAACGTCATCGAATAAATAGAATCATTATTCCGAGTTCAGCTGACTCAGCCACTCGGCAGTCAGAGGGGACCCACTTTCTTAAAACGAGAAGAATAAGTACATGCCTGCTATCTTAGTATCGCTGATACCATATTGGACATTTTATGATAACGATATAACCCATTGACGAATAGTAATGATTTTCAATCAAGTAAGTTTGTGTAATGAAAACTTTAAAGGTTATTTCTAGTTTACATGGTTCGTAGACTCGTAGTAAAATTTAAATGTTGCGATCGGGATGTAAAAAGATTTACATATTTTATACAAATTGATAAATTATAAGATTTAAGATAAAAGCTTATACTTTATAATTTATAGTTATAATACTATATGGGATTATAGAAAGTTGGTAATTACATATTTACATGTATCCTATAATCATAAATATTAGGTACGTGCGTTTTTAATAATTAATAACATTGATTTAAAAACCATACAAGAAAACCCAAGAGAAATAAAGACATCCTTCTCAGATAAAATATACGTATTATAACGATTGCTTACAGATAAATATCCACTAATAGCGAATTTAATAAAAGTTTAAAAATACAAATAAATTGAATTATATCTGTAGTCAAATAGAACAAAAATATGATTTCACGTTTTAAGAATATGAATAGATCATGTTCACACGAAGAACGAAGGCTGAGCCGCAAAATCATACTATATAAATATTTGGTAAAAAAATCTGTGCCGAATTTTTATATCTGTTTTCCCCCTCCCGAAAAATTACATTTGTTCTGGCTACATAATAATATGATGGTTGAAGGTTAACACTTGCATACTGCATACATCGGTTCTGGTTAGTGCCAACAAATATTTCTCTGTTCTATTAGTTATGAATAACATTCATTTTGAAGTAAACTATAATAAAATTCTAACTGTTCTTAAATACCTACCTAATCGATAGCCATATTAAAACCATCGTGATCCTGATGGGCATATAAATACATAATACATACTTATTTATTATTTGTCTGTATCGAATATCGTAATAAATAATAATATATATATTATAATAGGTACGTTTATACGTAAAACTATCATTATAACTTATAAGTAAAGCAAACGTTACGCATTTGAAATGTTTAAAATTTAAATTATTAAATTATTAGGTACCTACTATACTTATATAATTTTTTCGTTATAAATAATTATTTGAACACTTCGATTAATGACTTGAGCAGTTGAGCTTATTATAGGATAAAAGTATATATATATTGATTTATTTTTAATTTTAAATAAATTATTGTACAGATAGATAATATACCTTCTATTCAGGTAGGTATTTCACTGCTGAGAAAAGCTCGTATTTCAATGGAGGAGAAGGAGAAATAAATAAAATCGAAAAATATCGTTTCACTTAAAAACATAAAATCCTGGATCTGAGCTCTCGCCCTACCAAAACCGCATCACTATAACTGGCTGGATCGATTCCGATCTCCCCATAGTGACTTAGTCCCTTGATACAGCCATTATAAATGGCCGGTATGCCGTATGCGAGGTGTACGGTGTACTTTAAGCGGCGGTGGTGGCGGGGGCGTCGAGCAACCTTGACCCATTACCGCCGCCGCACCCTTCTATGTTTGTAAGTACCTATATTGCACGATATTGTTGCGTTATACGTTGTCTAAATAACAAAAATGGAAAATGTAAACGGAAAAGAATCTAGAGACGTTCGCGATGAATACAGACGCCTACTGCATAATGTAATGACTAAATACTAATGGGTATAATTGCTAATGTGATTGCAGCCTTATCGCCGTGATTTCCGTATAAGTATAGAAGACGGATACAGTTATAATACATGTATTGTAATAATACGTAAACCATACAGTTTGACGAATAAACTTAACTGATAGGCTGAAATTATAGAAAAATATTTGGATAATATGTTTATGATAATATTGGCCTCGGTGCAAATACAACAAATATTGATCCATAATGTCTATTCCTCAGATATTTATAATTAATAAATTATTAATATGTGAATGTGATGTTACCTACTAATTACTATGTTTTTTATACTAGGTTAATTGTAATTTGTGTAACTTGTAACTTAGGTGTTAGGTGTTGGAATAATATTTAAATGTTGATAAAAAGTAAAATTTTGCTTGAAAAACTCAATAATATTTAACAACTAAGATATTTTTAGTCGTCGTTATTTTGAACCTCGATTTTGACTTGGAACAAAATTATGAATAGACCAGGGCTTGCAAAACCTTATAATAATACGTTATGATTATAACGTATATTTGACAAAAAAATGATTGAAATTTTTAAACGTAATTATAACGGAAAGCGATAATCAAAAATAATTAAATTATTTAAAGCAAAACAAAACATTACGATAAACAAAGTATATTATATATCATTAAACAAAACATAAAGCAAAACGTAATTTATAAAATATCATTAAACGTAATTTATAGAATTTCATTGAACGAAAAATAAAACAAAACGAAATTTAATGCTAAAATAGTATTATATAATTTATTATATAATTTAAAAATCTAATGTCCATATTCAATAAATCATGGATGAATGTTTTAAATTAACAGCTGTGAGGGGATGCTGACTATAAATCTGAATAAATTATGAGCATTAGTTGAGAAAAAAAATGAAATATAGATCTTTTAAACGTATGTAACACTCTCCGTGCATCCGACGACGTACAATGTATTTAATTAAAAATTTCCCATTAAAAAATGGGGCTAATGGGAGTATTATAATTTATAACTATAGGTATAATAAGCGATATCGGAATGTGTATACTATATATCACCAGTGGAAGTGTGATAATATAAGACGTAATATTATTAGGACTATAGACGCAACTATACAGGGTTAAAATTCTTAGGGGGCTACAGTTCACCTAACAAAACTATTTATTTAAAATAACTCATAGGGGGCTTATATCTAAAGCAATAAGGGATATTTGTATGGGGGCTAAATCTTATTCGAGGGGGAGGCTAAAGCTAAGCCCCCCTAATTGCGCCAATCATTAGGATTTAGGACTCCTATCTGAAAAGGCCAAGGATCTGGAATCTAGATTCCTAAATGGAAGAAAAAGTAAAAACATTGGTGAGATTGTTTTGTATTCATACGACATAAATATAATTTGTTCGGTCGGAGTCTCGAAAGTGCTTAACACTATATAATCTGTTGCTAATGATATTTTTACAATAGATTCACGCATAGGCGTAATACTATGAATTATGAATTAATAATAAATTATAATATGAACAATTTTACACACTTGACACTGGGTGACGGTTACAGCTTAAAAAGTGTTAATGTAATAATGTATTATTGTATTAATGTATTATCAACATTATACTTGCTAGTTATCTGTTTTATATTAGGTATATGATACATCGCATACAGGAATTCACAACAGTTTACACCAGGGTCTTCAACCCTTTTTAGACAACAAGCCCTCTATTATTATTTTTTAAACTCGCGGTCCACGTTCTCAATCAAAAAATTACGTTCTATATAAACTAAATGTAAAAAATACATGCTAATATGGAGGGCAGTATTTAAGGGGTAGTTCGGGAGGGCAATAGCCCACCCTGGCTTATGTTAGGGGGCGACAATATTTTTATGGTGATTATAAAAAAGTAAAATCATAGTTTTGAATACGCAATAGAAAATTATAATTTAATAATAAACATATAAAGAAATTGTATAATATTGATTCCTAATCAACAAATGCGGAATATTTTTTGGGCGAAATGCGAAATTGTTTTTTTAAATGATCTGTTTTTTGAATAATAGGTACTACATATTATACTAAATTGGATACCACAAATCCCTATAATTACTTTGTGGCTTTCCGTTTGTACCACCTAGGAGTAACTACGCTATAGAAATATTCTATTCATTATTTTATAATACAATAGGTAAGTCGTAAGTATCTATCTAAGTACGAAGTACCTATGTAAATATTTAACTTTGAAAAGAGCATTCTCACATCGATTTATTAAAATTATAAAATAGAATCTAATTTTTTGTAAGTCATTTAAAATAGCTAAATAAATAGGTTATAGGTAGTTTATTTAAATGGTTGCCATTGGTTACATTATATATTACTATTATAATATTAGTATTTAGTGAAAATGTGACATAATAATACATTTTTTTAAGAATATAATTCACAATTTTTAACAGCTATATAGTAATATAATATAATGATACAATAATTCAGTTTCCATGAAAGTTTGTTTGCATAATTTATAATTATATTTAGTTAATCATAATTAATAAGATAGATATTTTTGATTTTATGTGAATAATAAATATTTTGTGAAAATACTGAAGTATGAAAAAAAAATTATAACTCAAGTCGGGAGGCAACAAAATCTTAAATCCGGCCCTGGTAATATGGTAATATGCTTATGTGTGCCTCAAATAACGACATGGCGGGTTCAAGACACTTGGTTTACGCTGTATAATGTACCTATATAGACAGTTTGAGTAACGAGTAGGTATCAGGTATTTTTTTTTAAACGAGGCGGGGGCACGTAGCGCTAGAATAGCTCGTTTGGTAACTACTGTCTACTTATGTAGCACATTCCGACCGCCGTCAAGTTATTTCACAGAACGGGAAGAACAACAAAAGAAACAACAAACATTATACGAAATTTCCATCCACGGACCGCTGCCTACGCTTGCCATATGTATAAAATTAATAATAATAAAACAATGATTATATAGTATAATAATATATCGTCTGCCGGTTACGATGGTGAGGTATACAGGGTGTACTTGGAAGACTCGACAATTTATAGACAAATAATACCACTGGAATAGCTAATACCTAATGGCTAATATCAATTACCAATTGTAAGAACATATTATGATTGTATCTACTGATACACCCAGTATACAGCTCACAAAATAAACCATTGCTGTCATATTATATTTTATAGACTTGAGGCAATTAACGATGCCGTACAATTGGATATAATTGGCAAATGACAAAAGTATAGGTATATCGTATAATATGTTCGTAATACTATAAATTGTATAATATAAATTGTGTGTACGATGAGGTGACAGTATTATTATTAGTGCTTGGCGCTTGCACGTTGCGTAATACAATTAGAAACACGAGAATGTATAAAAAACAAACTAGAAAAGCAGAACGCCTAGCCTAAAATAATACATCGCAATTACTAATTATTATTATGTTTTATATTCGTCCCCGCACGTATATAGATATACGATACGATACATTGTCGCAGCAATATTTTGATGGTTTATGACAACATTAAACTGCAGATTGTGTTATGCGCGGCGGCGCACCTGTACAACCTGTTTGGCAGATTTTCGAATGTTACAATAATATTATTATTATTATACAATTACAGGCATACGGCGTACATAGATGAGTAACTAAAGGCTTCAACAATTTTATAAAATGCTGTTGCCACTGATGGCCACGTCGTTTGCTTTATATAGAACGCAAATTATATCTACATAATATATAATAATAATAATATGTAAATTGTGTGTATCACAATATATTAAATAATACTACGAAAATTGCCGAGATTTTCGGCCGAATCAATTATTTAAAATCTACGAAAATATTATGTTTCTGCACAAATGTGTTACCTACGACGTCGGCGTTATCTGTCGATCCGCTGCGATACCTCCCACTGCCGTTGAGTCGATAAGAATGAGAAACCTGCACGAATGAGTACGACAGGTACTAAATACGGACCGCCGAAAAGATTGAGTATTCGTATTTTGTGTGCGAGAGATGTAAAACGATCCCGTTCGGCGCGGTCTTGGTATAACGATACACCACCTCGGTCGGTCGTCGCCCAATCGTACTGAATATTGTGGCTGGTCGCTGGTGCCTCCCGCGCTTAGCTCATAAATCACGGGCGGCCGTCTGGCGCGTGCGCCGCCTCTAACCGGCATCGGCGGCGCGGCGGCGTACGGCGTCGGTGGTTTATCGCCATGCGCCGCGGACGCGCATCAATATTCGGCCGCCGCCGCCACCGTTGTCGTCGTCGTTCAATATTATCCCAGTATCCCACATTCCCAGTTCCCACGACCGCCAGGCGTAGAGCGCATACTATTATGGTAGAGAGTAAATTACTCTATTAAATATGGATGGCGGGACGGTGCGGCGGTATCGTCGTTTAAGGATGGGCCAAAAATATCGATAATATCAAAATATCGATATTTGGAAACGATATATCGATATCGTATGATATTTTCAATTTATGATAATATCGATATATCATCCGATAATATTAATATCGTCGGCAACGGAAAAAAACCTCGAAACTCGAAATTTTCATTTTTTTTTTTACAACATTGTATTATAATACAAATACCCAAACAAATACAAATACCCGTCGCTATCTTATCAATGAATAATCCATTGTTAATTGGCGTTCCTAGAATAACAATTATTATTTATATAATTAATAGTTCTAGGAACTAGGGATTGGGAACTTCCAGATGAGCGGCTAGTTGACAGTTGTTTAATTTGAAATAAAATAAATAAAATGATATTAATACTAATAATTATATTAAAATCCTACCTGTAAATAATAGGTCCTACTAGAAAGGTTAATGTACAAGAGATTATTTTTATTTTATTTATTAATTTTTTTTATTGTTATTAAATATTAATATAATTTAGATTATGTTTTTATTATATTAGTTTTTTATTGTATCAGATAATATACATTAATTATGAATTTATAATATAAAGGTATTTAGGTAAATTGCATTTAATTTGCTTCATAATTGTTATTATTTGGTGTAACTTTTTGTACTTAAATAAATACACTAAAAAATAAGGACCTACATTTAAAAAATCTATTAAATTACTTTAATTTTCAATTTTACAATAGGATGAATAATATGTAAACAAAATGCGCTGTCTTCAAATCTCTGCTCACAGACTATAACTGTGTGTTTTATACTTTTTTATACTATAAAAGAGCGAAAAAAAAAAAAATCAAAATGTGTGATATATCAAAATATCGATATATTTTGGGGAAAATATCGATATCAATTGATAAATTTTATATTTTATCGATACTGATATTATCGATATTTTTTCAATTTGGCCCATCCTTGACGTCGTTGTCCTCCCCGCCGCAGACGACGACGCGCGTTCCCGCATCCAGTGCCCTTGGCGATTTCGCTCAGATTGTACGATTATTAATCGCACGATCGTACAATAATAATCGCGTGAGCGTACGATAATAATCGCGTGAGCGTACAATAATAATTGCGCTCTCCTATAATAGACAATGGTTGCTGTGTGTGTGTGTGTTTCTCGACACTACGGCACCTGCAGTCTGCACTGCGGTTGCGCCCTTGCACTTTCTGTATTATAGACAATTGTAGAATAGTAGATGCTCTGATGCTGACATAGGCACAACTAGGGACAATTTTCTGGAAGGGTCTAAAATTGTATCAGCAGCTAAACCCTGATAATTAATATTTTAACTAAAATATGATTAAAAAACTGGAAGGACTAAGGAGGTCATAGAATAAAATAGGAAGGCTTGGCTCCCCGAATCACCCCCTAATTGACCCTGTGCATGGTGATTTACTTGTACACGATTGTTATTTAGTATTTACTATAGCATCAAAATAAGAACACTATTATAGCTACTACTAAAATTTAATTTAATTTATAAAAATGACACATAGAAGTGAACTAGTGCCTAGTGGAGCGATGGATCACATACTGGCTACTAGTTACTATCATAGAAAAGAATAACTACCTAGTAGTTAATACCTACGTGACATGAAAAAGTGAACAATAAAGACAATAAAGTTAAAATATCTTAACTCCACTGGCATGCTAGCCCCAAGGGCGGCTCCAGTGACATGGTTGAAGGGGAGGGGGGCTGTCATAATTATCAGACAACTTTAGATGTTATGATAAATTTATTTTGTAGGTTTGTTTTTAACAATATTCGTTTTTTCTAGAAATACAACTTCGGTAGGGGCCATAGCACCTAGCCTCCTCTCCCTGGAGACGTTCCTTGCTAGCCCTAGGCCCGTAGCGCACTAATAAAATGAGAATATTCTAGTTTAAAAATTAAATTGAAACGATGGTTGCAGCGGTAGCTAAGCTAGTAAAAAAGGATAGTATAAACCATGACAATATATCTATTTTCTTATGGTATAAACGACCTTTCGCCCGCATGGAGGTAGCCGTAGTGGCGCCAGTGGTTGGAGCGCCACTAGTGCGTACGCCGCGGCCAGGTTTCGACGTTTTCGAGTGTTCGACCGTCACGTATCGCCGCATCGGTGAACAAGCGTTAGCGGTATGCACAACGTCCCGACTTCTGCACGCACACGAGCGCGAACACAAACACATTTTCTTAAGCCCAGTTTTGTAACGGACGACCGGTCGTACCATAAACAATAGGAGTCCATATTTTTTTCACGCAGTGCTACGTGTTTTCGAAATTTTGGTGTTCGATCCATCAAACACGTTTTTTTTGTTCTTGTTTACATGTTGCTTTTTTCGGTACCCCATGGTTATAAATTTTAACTGCAATCGTTTATTCTGTTGAACTTGACCGATTGAAACAAGTTTCAATCGCTTTTATTATTATTAAAGTGTAATAAATTGTTCATTGTGGTTTTTCGGTATTGACGTAACGCACATCCAAACAAAAAAGTACAGAATGGAGACACCGAAAAAATCGCAACCATCACATCGCGATGTTGACGAAAAATACGACGCTACGACTTCTAGCCCGCTAAAAGGTACGTTCGGAACGCATATGATTAAGGCAACATCCCATTTTTGTCATCTTTGTTCATATCACCCAGTCTTGCGAGCCCTGAAGTCTAAAAATGTTAAACCCATTGTCACACTCCCTTAGTATAGAATTTTTCTCTATACCTATTAGCAGGGATAGCCTGGCTTACCGGGATACCTGGAAGTTCCCGGTAGCCTGACCTATTGGAACTTGTTGTTGGCCTGACACCTGACGGATGCGTGACATTATTTTTTTTTAATAATTACCTAGTGTTTTTTTATACTAAAAAAATATACTTACTAGTATTAATAATTGTAAGCCTTACCTATTACAAGAGGAAAATCCTAATATTATATAGTAGGTACCTAGTTGTTTTGGAGTTTTGTACTGTCGAACAATTTTGTGGTGACTGGTGAGCAATAGGTGATTATGTATTTAACCAAACGCGCTTAATACAATAAGTTATTACTACTAAGTACTAACTAATTTTTATTAATAACTATAATTGCTTAGGTATTTAAGATTGGTATATTTTGGGCCGCATAAACGCATTATTATTATTGCGTACCTTATATATTATGCTTGGTCTGATCGTCCATGTCTGATCGAATGTGACTACTTCGTGCATGCCTATGACGTAGACATACAAATGTGGCCTGGGTAATACATTTTCCCAGCCTTAATTTTTCTCCCATGCTGTCCCCTGCCTATTAAGAGGTACCTACTAGTATATTAAATTATTAACAAATAATATAAATAATACCCAGAGGTCATGACACACTACATTCATATCCCCTATGATCAACTACTGGTCACTACAGTATAATACCTATGTTTTTACTATTTTGTTGCTGACTTCATATGACTAAGACGTATCCTAGTCTTTTAATATAATTTATTGTACTTTTATCTAACATAAGCACGTCTCTTATTTTGGTCTGTCTACTAGCTTTGCCCAGTCCAAGAACACCTGTCAGATCCACATTCAACGACAGTGATGACGATGAATCGGATGAAATGGAAAGCCCTAAGTTTCCACATCTTATCCCAATTTATAGGAGAACTCCTGATGAATATGATTTAGGAGGTGTGCGTATTGGTTGGGATGATGGATATGGCAGTGTGTGTTATCAAGATGACGATTATGGTAAGAATAATAATATATACCTATATTATATAATTTAAAATAACTAGTTTAAACATCGTTATAGGTAGTCTATGGAAAGTACTCAATTTGGAAATTTAATTAAATTTAATGATAGAATATAATATTTTATTAAGTTATTACCTATTTTAATATACGTACAAATTGGAATTTATTACATTAATTAAAATTTATAATAATTTTAGATTTTCAAACATTTTTTTTATTAAATAAATACGTCTACTACTTTGTTGTTATTTTTGTTCTTTATTTTTATTTTAAAGGAATTATACCCAATTTTAATTTGAATTCTTATTTGATGTTTAGTTACTGAAAGGAGGTCAAAAAGGAGTAAAAAGAGCCGATTATTCTCTGAACGTCATCATCGATCCTTCTTTAGATCGAACCACTATAATTCATCAAACAATGAATCACCTTCTCCAAGGAGTTGTGCAAGTGTAAATAATACTGCTATGCAGGAGGAGCTGAATAACTATCTTGAATGTATATTGAATTGTCTCAGTAAGTAATATATTCACTCATTAAGCTTTACATTTTGTCTAATATGAATAGACATTTTTTTTAAATTCTTAAAACTACATTGTTGAATAGTAATAATAAGTAAACAAAATATTTTAAAAACTTTAGTTGTATTGTATTATAGGTGCCAAAAAGAGAAATCGACAGTTAATGAAAGCTAAAATGGAAGCTAGTTCTTCTGCAAACAGTTCAACAGAAAATAATAATGATGATGGTTGTTCATTTAATGACTGTGCTGATGATGAAATGATGATGTTGTGTAGTCAAGCTATTGAAAAAGAAATAGCTGCAGATGATAATAATACTAATAATACCGTGAATAAACCTACAAAACTAATTGTTTCACATTCTTTGTCAATTAATGGTATTAGCCCATTAAAAGATACTAACAGTGCAACAAATAATAATGTATATTACCCCGCTGCCAAAAAGTTCAAACCAGTACACAGCAAACTATTTGGCGAGGAAGAGAAAAGAAATTGTAAATCACAGTGTCACACATTAACTTCAAATATGATAAACAAATCTGAAAATGATGCCTCATCTTCCGTCATTACTACTGTTACTAATTCTAAGAAAGATGATTCCTCGTCATCATTGTTAGATGACACTTTAGCCAAAGAAGATGAGTTTTTTTTGGGTATTGATTTTGCGGAAATCGAGAAGCAAATTTTGAATGGTGCTAAAGAAACTACTACTGTATCAGCAGTTCAGAATAGTTATAAACAGCCAAATACAAATGCCGGTATACAATTGGAAAAAAAAACAGGTATATGTTTATTATTTATTATATAAATAATACAAATTTAAGGTTACTTAAGGTTTTAAATCAATTCATAAATTTGAATGGAAATATTTTTGTAAACTAGTTAAAATTTTAGTTAATTTCAATTGGACTTACCTGATTTAGCCCTGTTGAATATTATTATGGTGCCTTCATTAATAATCAATATACAAGGTGATTTTTTTACCATTGAACACTCATTATTTCAAAAAGTATTAATGTTTAAGAAAATATTTTTTTACATAGTTTCAAGTTGTTAAAAAACAATATTTTTATTAAAAAATTATATTTTTAAATATTTTTTATCCTTTTAATTTTTTAAGTTTTTTACTTTTTTGAATGACAACATGTAATTTTAATTTGAAATTCAAAAACAGAATATTTTTCTGATTATTTTAATACATAAAAATCACCTTATATATATATATTGAGAATCGCTTGTACCCACTATTTTTGTTTATTTAGCAAACATATTATCTTAAGAGACTATATTAAATAACTTAACATTAATGTTAAAAATTAAATAAATTAGAAATGGAATATTTCAACATTTTATGTATACATAATACAGTATAATATGATATATTATTATTTATTATATTTTATTACACAATTAATGTAGCTACAGACATTGTAAACTATAGTTTTTTTTACAATTTAAAATGTTTTTTAAGTTAATTCTTATACTTATGTACTTATGTAGTGATGTATCTATGTGTATTTCATTAGTTAAAACAATTTATAAACATCTTAACAATATCTATGAACATAATGCTTTTATAATTTAATAGTCAGCTTATCAAAATGTTTATATTCCTTTTGTAATTTTATTCTTTGACAACCCACAATGTAAATATATAAATTAACAGATGACCCACTCAATATCTTATGCTACTGGGGTGAAAAACTTGGATTCAGGGTAAAATGTTGTTAAAATAAAAAGTATGAGGATGGACGCTAAATAGTGCCCACGTCAAGTTTGGAGTGTTAATTTAATGGTATTAAGAGTTCATATAGAACAAATATAGATAGTTACATGTTCATTTTTTAAATATAAATTAATTAATGTTATATAATTTTTTTTTTTTTAGCCACAAGCAATTATGCTTCTTCCAATAGTTCAAGTTCTAGTTCAGTACTTTGGCGTAGATCTACTTCGTCATCATCAATTGTTAACAAGCAGCAACAATCAATACAACAACCTAAACAATTCAGCAGTGTTGTTGGGACAGTAAATAACCCTAGGTAATTACATAATGTTTGTTTGACTACAATATATTTTACTTTTATTATTATTGTGTATTTTATGTATATTTCAGCACTAGTAGTGGTAATGCAAAAGCCACAAGCAATTATGCTTCTTCCAATAGTTCAAGTTCTAGTTCAGTACTTTGGCGTAGATCTACTTCGTCATCATCGATTGTTAACAAGCAGCAACAATCAATACAACAATCTAAACAATTCAGCAGTGTTGTTGGGACAGTAAATAACCCTAGGTAATTACATAATGTTTGTTTGACTACAATATATTTTACTTTATTATTGTGTATTTTATGTATATTTCAGCACTAGCAGTGGTAATGCAAAAGCTACAACCACAACTACTACCAGATATTGCACACCAGCTGAAATAGAAGCAAAGCGAGATCGTGCTCGACGTACACTTTTGCTTAAGTTTAAATCGAAAAATAGAAGTGTTTCGTAAATTACTATAACTATTTGAAAATGTACAGTACTTCTCGTTGAATATATAATATCTTTTTGTCTATATATTAATTTAGAACTTTAATATTTTTTTCTTGCGTTTGTATATCAGATATTATTTTTCATTTATATCTGTGTATGTGTAAATTGAAAGCAATTATTAAACATATATTAATATTAATATCTGGTTTCTATAAACTAAAAATATGTATAATTACTGATTTATTTCATAATTCTTAAACTTTGTATATACTTGTAACCGTTTTAAATTTATTATTGAAACCTAAAAAAATAAATAAATTGTATAAGTTAAAAATAAAATTTGACGTAATTTTTATTTTATAATTATAAGTTTTAAGGAATACTTACAAAGTAAATTTAGTTATTCAAAATAAAAATTCTTAAGAAAAGAAGTATTTTTTTTTTATTCGTGATAATATGTAGTTTATTTTAATAAGTATGCTGGCATATTCAATGGATGAGTGGGATAAATAATTTATTTGGCATTAGCTAATCCATAATTTTAGCCCGTTCAATGTTATGGTTCAATCATGGATGACATGAACGACATAAATTGAGAGACAATACTTTTTCTTGATCCTTGATGAGAATAATTTTTGCTTAATTGAAATCCAAGCATTGTTAGATCCAGATTGAACCTGTAAGAAATTTAAGTTTATGATGCCAAAAGTCCTCAGTGTTTTAATTGTCTGATCATCAAATAGTAGTAATTATGAATTAATATCAATTTATTATTGGTGAATAAGGGTAGTTATGTTTTATAGTCTGAAGAAAACCATAAAATAATGTCAATTGTCTACAACTTTCATCTGGTCTTGGACACACATTGTCATGGTAGGATGTGACTGATTTTTTTTAAGATGCATTATTTGAAATCTATACTATTATATAAAACTGTAAGGGTTTTCTTCGACTGCGCTAACCGAGAAAACTACTGAACCGATTTGGCTGAAAATATTTACTGTTATACTTGACAGTGCTGGAGGTTTTGTTTAAGAAAATCCACCAGAAAAGTAGGAAATATGGATGTCAAAAATACAACAATGGCGCCATCTGTCCAGAAAGAAATAAAAAAAAAAGTTTATTGTTACAGATTAAAATAATAATAGTGTACTATATATTGGTTGCTATTGGTTAATTTTGCTTGTTTGTTAATTTGAATAATTATTTTTCGTCAATATATTTGTGTGTAGATTAGACCTCTGGGAAAAAGAAAGATTAATTTAAAACTGGTAAAATTTGGTGTTTTTTATTCGTGGGATTTTATTACAGTTAGGTTAGGTTAGGATTTTGTATTAATTGATTATATAATTTTATCAGCTGAGGGTAAATTTGCTATACTACGCACTGTAAGACGGAGACAACAAATGCCCATGTTACTTACTCTTATAACTTATAGCTGAGCCAGTATAAAAAGTTAATTGCATTTTAGTTTAGGAAAGATCTATTTTAAGGTACATTTTTTTTTAAATTTTAATCTATTAGTTTTGTATTGTAGAAATGATAAATTATTGAACTTTATCTAATGCATTGCTCAGGCAAAAAAATCAATACAATTCAGAATAATTAATTCCTAACCTGTTATCTATGATTGATTCAATTATTATATATTAATTTGTACACTTTCTTTTAATTTTTAATTAAAGTGTGTACAAAGTGAATAAATAATATTTAAATATTATTTTTGTAATAAAACCTTTTTTTGTGTATAACTAAAAAGTAATACCTAACAATAAAAAACATTTTTTACAGAACTTGATGACTGGGAGTAGACTTGAAAGCCTAGATTGATTGCCTGTTTGACAAGATAGTTATTTGGGTACTTGTAGATTTCGACCATGCCTGGTTGAGGATCAACTAACATAATAAACTATTTATGGAGTAATTTGAGTTAGCTGAGAGGACAAACCAGCATAAATTATTATCACATTAAAATTTTTAATTCCATTTATTTTTTAACTTTATAAGAACATATCAATAGATTTATAAAATTATAAATATCTTGCATACAAGTTACAGTTGAAAACAAGTTTCACATAACATTTTAATTTATAGGTACAAAAAAAATTTCTTTTACAATATCATTAAATGAATTTGCAAATATTGAATAATAACTTAGATATAGTATGCAATATTCAAATATATAATGTATCTGTATAATACCTAATATAATTTCCATTTTTTCTGTTGAGTATGTGCGCAATAGAATTAGTTGTTACTTGTTGCTAAATTGTAATTTGATAATGTCATATAAATTAATTTATGAATATCGTTATGTATAGCTTTGGAATAACATAATTAAAAAAAATAACCAAAAAATCAATTTTATAAGTAGTGAATTATAGATTTGACAAATATAAACAAATATTTGAATACATTGAAAATATAAACAATTGTGGTATAGGTACATATAAAATTAGATGTTCAGACTATTCAACTGCAAAATTACTATTATTATTATAATTTATTGAAAATTAAAAACATAATATAAAATAACCCAGTTATTGAAATAAAATAAATTTAAAGAAATTAAAGAAAAATTATTAAAACATACCTGACACTAACATAAACGGCATAGTGTTTTCTTACTGTTTACTTGTAAGAGTTTAAAAAAAGGATAAATAATAATAAAATAAAAATAAATAGTAAAAAAAAAATCACACCTTAAATAACAATATTTTTGAAACAATATAAACATTAAAAAAGTTAACTAAAAAATGCAGCTGAATAAAATCTTTTTTATTGACATAATAAATATTAAGCAATAGTCTGATCAAAATTGTATAGTTTTATGAAAATAGATAATTTATTCAGTGTTAAAATGTAATAACAAAAGATTATATTCAGCCACATAGTTAATTATTCCATAATAAGTTTATTTTAACAAAATAATAATAATTAAATTCTAGGAACGCGTAAAACAATAAAAAAATCTTTTTATGTATGTATTGTATATTGCGAATATGGTTGTGATTAATTAAAAAATAAAAGTGCAAAAAGTAAAAGGCTTTGTTAAATTATGTAGTATGATTATTTATAACAAGTTTAGGTAAACCTAAAGTCTATCATAAATAAGTAAATATATATATATACAATATATTTAAATTGCTTAAATATGTATTTTGTAGTACCATTGTACCATGGAACAGTACCAATAAAATAAGTAAATAAATTAGTATATAAATATAGATTTCTAGATAGTACATATTCAGCTAGTCTTGGGGTTTCAAGTCTTCAATAAAGATATATATTTTTTTTAAATTACATATATTTTAATTAATATTAAATATATTTTTTTACGATAATAAACACTGATACTGTTAATATTATGATAATAATTATAATTGCATACATAATATATTTACCGTAATAATTGTAATAATAATAATTATTATAATTATAAAAATTATATATTAATATTATAGCTAATATGTATATAATATATATATATAATGTTCTTGATCAGACTTAATAACTATTATTTAGGACTATGATTGATATTGCACAATAAAATTCCTATAGTATTTTTGTCCATCATATTATGTTCTTTTCTATTAAGTTACAAGTATAAAATTCTCGGCATTGATATTTGATTTTAACTATCAATCATAATTAAATAAAAAAATTTAACTAATTTTTAAAACAAACTGACATTTTTATGGGTCGTAACAGTGATATATTAAAAATGATGTAACAATGTCAGCATAAATACAATCTATTTAACTATTTTAAAATAGTTATATATATATATTAATGTATAAATCTGTAAATGTATGATCATTAATACTTGCAAAATTAAAAGCTCTAAATAATGCTTAGTTTCACAATAAATAAATATTACATGCATAGAGCAGTAAAAAAAAAACAAATAAAGAAGTGTTAAATTTGCAGTGTATAAAAAAAATAACACTACAATTTCTTAAATGTAAATTTTGAAACAAATTTAATAAATTAATATAAATTATTAAAATATAATATTACACTTCAAAACCGAGAATTTCATACCATTCAAAAATGTAAACAATGTGTCTTGTCAATAAACATTTATAGTTTTATATACTATATATTTCAGTATTTTTAAACATACCTGATTTTATTAGGAGTATTGATTTTAAAATTAAAATTAAAAATAATTATTAAATAGATAATCGATTTCACAATAATAAACACTAAAGCCCACATTACATTATGTTCACTAGTTTCTTAATGAAACATCTTAAATTGTATTTCCATGGTTGATCAATATTAATTGTAGTGTAAAAAAAATAATAATAATGTTACAAATATAGTTAGAAAATATTTTATCTAGGATGTATCTATGTATTTTGTAATTTCTTATTGAATACTTGGATTATATCAGAACAAAAATGATACAAATACATAAAAAACTAACACATTTAATTTAGTTCTATAATAAACACCCAATAAAATCACAATATGTTGTATATATATATATATATATATATAGTAATAATAATAATATTAATATCAATAATATCAAATTTATAATTGCATATTCATAAAGATTTTAGTTATTAGAATAACTACTATCTAAATAGCTATTTGTTCAAACTTAAAATATTACTCTTAAATTTCAAATTTTTATTTAATTACACAAACGATAATATGTTATGAATTTACTATAATATCTTTCATGACTATGTCCAAATATTGAAAGGGTTGAATTTAAAGTGCTTTTCAGCAATCGTAATTGTCAAATCACCCACCAGAAAATAATTGATTACTATTGAAATTTAAGGAAATAAGAAATATTATAAATTTATAAATCCATAAACTTAAACATCTTTAGAGGTAAACAACATAAAAAAAAAAAAATAATAAAAATTAAAAAAAAAAAAAATAATAATTTGAATAGAAAAGTTTGACACTAGAGAGCTAAATGGAAGAATGCATTATAGATTAGCACCAATTTCAGTAATATTGTAACATATTTTCAGTAACAACACTACTATTATCAGTTAATTTAGAGTAAATATTTTCTAACGGCGGTCCAAATGTTAAGAAAATAAATATACTAACTATGTGTATGTAAGTATTTATAAATAAAAACAATAGGTAAATAATAAAATTAAAATTAAAAAAATAAAACAAACAAAACAAAACAAAAACAAAAATAGAGAAAAATAATTGTTGTCAATAGAACCGCCGTTATAATTATAATTTAGAACAAGTTTAAGGATTTCTACTTCCTAACCAATAATTTATTTAGGTATAGTGCTAGTTACCGTTTAGATTGTTCACTTTAGATATTGAACCTGGTGCTGTAACTAAAGTGATGTCTGGTTTATTTTGTTGAGATTGAGTGGTACTACTTGTTATAATATTTTCAATTTCATCATTGTCCTCATCATCTTCATCAGAACCTTCTTCTCTATCACTTTCAGACATAGCATCTTCTCTAAATGTTGATTTGTCAGTAGCACTTACAGTAGCAGTAGATACAGTAATTGAATTATCTCCTTGTCTCATTGTTGACAAGTAGTTAGCCAATGTGGTTACAGTGACATTTAGTATTTCTGCTGCTCGGAATAGAGTTAATTCTTTTCTTTGCAATTTAGCCAATACATCTGCTGGACCTTGTTCCAACCAAAAATCTCGAACTCTGTAGAATATAATTTCATTTAATGACTTTAAATAAAAGAAAAATGATATTACTTTACCTGTACGGATGTTTTAAGCAACCATAAGCGTCTCGATATCTACCGTAAAGGGTTCCATAAGATACTCCCATTAACTCTGCGGCAACTTTCATTTCTAGTTCTTTATTTTTTATTGCTTCCATAAGTCTTTTAGTAAAAGGTTCTTCCCAAAATTGTGGACGGCGTCCACCTGATTCTAGATAGTCATTCATTTTCATTACATCAGAAAATTGGCTTAGATCTATTAAAACAGAAATAATCAAGTATAAATATAAATATTGTAATAAAACTTGTAATTATGAATTATACCTGGAACATGTGCTGGTTGTTCACTGAATCCTTGGCTAGCATTGGTGACACTACTTGCTCTTTCTTCTTCAGATGAAAAAGTTGTTACATTTACTGTACCAGTCTTAAAAAAAGTCATATAGTTTATAGTTTCTATAATACATTTTTTTATATTATATTATATATTTGTATTATATTTTATTTTATAAGCATTTTATACATTTTATAGAAAACACATCTATTATATCCATATCCACACAAAATACAACTTTGTACTTATTTTATTTTAAAACTGTTTAAATGGGCATTTACTTACTGTTGGTTTAGGAAGCTCTACATTGTCAGTATCAACCACATGTTGCATTTCTGGTTCCCAAATGGACTGTTCAGGTTCAGACTCGTCTTCAACATCTGCTCCATCCATATCATCATTTTCCTAAAAATTATAATTATAATTAGATAACAATATTAAATAATCATATCCTAATAAATAATAACATTTACTTGTGGTTTATCTGTAAATTCTTTTTTTATATTAGCAGTAGTAGCGAGTGTTGAATCTAATTTTCTCTTCTTGCTAATATTTGACTCATCAGCAGTTACATTAAAACTTTGGTTTTGCTGTTCTTGATCTGATCTCCATGATACTTCAGCCAAGCCTTTAATCTTAAGTTCTTCTGCAGTTTTTAACAAAGAAGAAAGCTCGGTCTAAAATACAAATAAATAATATAATGAAATACTTATATTTATAATACAATTTAAGCTTTAATACTTACATTTTCAACATTAATTTCTCCTTTGTACATAAAACTGACTAAGGCTTGAATATCAGAGAACTTAACATCTTTGAGAATAACTATTGCTTTATTCTCATCATGCTGTGACAGTATAGTATCAAAGTAAGTACTACAAGCAGAAAGCATAACCTGAAAATAAATATAAATACAAGATTTTTGTATATTAGATAATTTATGTGGACATTTTAACTAAACTGTATGAAGAATATATATATATATATATATATACCTTATGGGCTCTAAGGGTTTTTCCCTCACAAGCCAATGTAACGTCACAATAACTCTCCCGTTCTAAAAGTTGAGAAAACATTGCTTGTAAATTTGAGTGATGATACTTCCACCGTAAACAATATTGTTGTGGTGCTAACGAGTTCATATTGTCCTCAGTTATGGGCCGCATTGATATTTTCAAAAATGTCTGGTTTGAAAACAACCTGACAAAATTGTTTAATCTACCATAACCCTAGGAATACAAATGATAGAAACCTGAAAAATTAAATTTATATTTGCTTAAATATTTTCATTAAAATAAATCACTTTAAAATTAAATTGTTTCCTTTACAGTACGAGTGTGTTCCTATTTTAATTATTAAGACTCTCTGACCCACACGCTACTTGGCAAATTTTTTTTTAGCAGAATCAATCTTAGGTTGAAAAATTAAGAATATGAATGAATAACCTATAATCAAACTTAAGGTTTAGTCAATAAAACATTATTTGTGTTTGTACGTTGGTGCTTTTTTTTTATAATTTTTCAATTGGTACCCAGGTTATGACAATGTAAAATATTACAATTTAAAAATGCTCAAATATTGTATACATATTTAATATCATAAAATGCAATCAATCAAACATATATAGTTAATGTGCAATTACCTTAAGCAAATATAATTATAATAAATAATAATCATAACATATCGTATAATAACAAAGTTATAAAAATACCTCGTACAGCCAGTGCCATATTTATAGGAGTTAATAAAAGGTATTAATCCAGAGGTTCCCAACCAGGATGCATTGAACTTGAATTGAAAATGCCGTGAAATTATTTCAAATATTAAGCAATCCAACATAATTTTCACAATTTAAAAAAATGATTTTATAAAAAATATAGGTAGCGTATGTGTATAGTATGTTTAGTTATACCATTGAGTATATAATACATTGTACTATATATATAATACTCAATGGTTATGCCTAGCTAGATAAAACTATAGTTATAGAACATAAATATAAATACAAGTTGTTCTATTATAGTGTTTCCAAATTTTCAGAAAATACTTTAGGTCATCTTGAGTCAAAAATGTTGGGAACTTCTGGACTTATCCCTTTTCCTTGATATGAGGAAATACTTAATTTATATATTTTGACATTTTAATAATACTAGTTATGAATAAAATTCTGTAATTTTAGTATTATTAAACTTATCAATTTATTCCATCCCTAATTGATAAAAGCCCCATTGATTGCAGATTTATTTTTTAAGTTTAAGATTTACATTAGCTTTTTATTTAATAGACAATCACAATAATTGTTATTTTTATTTTTATAGAAAAATAATGTCAGGGTCCATACATTAATAGAAACTACAAGTATACCTAAGCATTCTTTAGAATAAATTAACTCATAACAAGTTATTTTAAGTAAATAATATAACATAATAATAGATTTCAACTTATAGGGATTACAAATTAATACCTAAATAAAAATGTACATAGGATCAAAATTTGCCATGTATAGAGTATCTCATATTTTAATGTGAAATGTTTGATCAACAATGTAGGTTTCTGATAATACTTCCAAAAACCTAACTTCAAGAATTAATATGTTATATTATATGTATAAAGACAGGATTTGTGTGATTAAAATAAATGAATAAAATTATAATGAAGAGATAAGGGTGCTAAAGGTTAAATACTTCACAAAAACTAATAATGAATACTGCTAGATTTCTGATTCCCCAGACAACTTATTACGGATTTATGAAATCTTTATTAGAATTGCAACTTTTTGTTAATACAAAATATGTAGATAATTATAAGAAATTCAAGAATAAACAAGGGTTTATTATATTGTTATTATATATTAAATATATAGTAAATATTTAAACAACTGAGTTCAGTAATAAAGTTTTTTATTGTATTACAGTTGAAATCATATATATTTAAAGTGAAGTATCTTGTCAGTTAAACTTTAATGGTTTACAATATTCAAATGACATGATTTGAAATAAATAAATATAAGTTTAACATTACAATTTTCTAAAAAAAAAAACCCATAACATAAAAGAAGAAGAATATAATATAAAATATTTTAGAATTTTAAAGGATTTTATGGCGTATCCAAAATATAAATGAGTAATGTCACTATTTAGATGTCTTTAATAATTTAACGTCTAGTGTGTGTATCAGTCTACATTTTTTTTAAATTTAACACACTTATAAGTTATTCTTAGTCAGTGTTAAACCATTTATTTATATGTATTGAACTCATATATATTAGTGTTAACCCATGTTTTATATATTATATTATATTGTATTAAATGTATTTATATCTGTGACTGTTATTATTTAATATTATACTTTTTTGTGTTTATAAATTATTTAAAATATATATGTTATCATCAAATGCACATAAATAAATTGTTAATCAACTAATAAAACATTTAATAATATATACATTTTTATAATTGTTAATTATTGACAAAATAGTTGTATATTTTTACTTCTTTTGCTATTTATTTGGGTACCAATTATTTTGAAAATGCAATTGATTATTCAACAGTTATCATAACTAAACATTATTCTTTTAATGCACAATGTATTTTAAATAAATGTTTGAGTAAATTTACACTCTAACCTTGCTCTGCCCTCTGACATTAAATACAGGTTTAAAAAAATAGGTTATTGGAGAGATATTATTTTGAAAGGAATGATAGGTATATACATATATACAATAATAATGCATCAAACAACGAGTATGAGAAAATATGCTGATAACAAAAAAAGAGATTAAGTGTTTCTATAATATAACAGAGAAATAAAAAAATTATTTTAAAAATCTTTAAAACCCTAATAGTGTTCTATTTCAAATTTATATAGATACTTAATTATTTTAAGCCCAATATCTCCCTCACATTGATCAGCAACTAAAAAATTATTATTATTAAAAACATATTATGACCATATAGTGAAGTACAAATAGGTACTTAAAAAAAGTATTTGATTAGTATTTAAATTACAACTGTTGTTATCCCTCAATATTTATACTTATTTATTAACTAACAAAATAATAATATAATAACTTTTGTCAAATATAATTGAAAAAATAAAAAATAAATCCTACTTAACTATCCTTCATATTTTCCTTATATTCCTACTATAAAGCCTATACAGAAAACAGGGGTGGCACACCATGTATACTAAAAATTATAATAAAGATAATTTAATTTTCAAATGTATTGTTGAGTTATTTTAATATATAAAATATTAACTAAACTATATATATATCACAGCATAAAAAGTGTACTAGGTACCAGTGGCGGGCTGGAGGACTCAATTTGGACACAGCTGCATCAACTATTCAAAGGGGGTGGTATCACCCCAGGGCTGTGGTGTAGAATTACATGCTAAAGCCCGACCTCTTGGCTCTTTCGCCCTTATTTTATTTGCATCATAACTTTGTTATAAGTAAAAACGGGGGAGTGGTGGTGGTGGTGGTAAGTACTTAATAATGAAAATGTATCATTTAAATTTAAGTTCAGTCCGCCACTACTGGATACTAAAAATAGAAAATCTACCTACAAAATGTGTACAATGTATACCTACTAGCTGTGTGATGTAAGATGTAAAGTAATAACACAGTTTCCAACGTCAAAATTCAATTCAGTTACAAGTAATTCAGAGTTAAATTAATTAACTATAATACACAATTATTTACTTAAATATTTATGTCACAAAATAATATTTAAACATTTTTTAACTAACAAATTTAATAATCCTTGATAAAATAATTTGCCATTTAATAATAAAACATTTAATGGTATTAACAAAAAATAAAATTTAAGAATAACTTCATTAAAAAATAAATGTTAGCATAACAATTCTTCTCACTTTACAACAAGCCTTTAAATCTGTTATCTTATATATATAAGTTATATTTACCATACAAATAATGTGTTTTACTAATCAAATTATTATACTGACTTTAATTTATCGGCTATGTCAACATTATACATTGATTAAATATACACTATATACCTAATCAATGGTAGATAACTATTTTTACATTGATGCATCTAAAATATTAATTTTGTCTATTAGCATCTTAAATAGCTAAAATACCAGCTAATCTATGTTGTAAAAATATTATTAATTTAACAGAGGTAAAATATTACAGAACAGAGATTAAATTAATGTTATTGCAATCCTTAAAATGAAAATAAAAATGGTAGTTTTCCACATGATAATTGGTCCATTTATATTAATTACACATATATTGGACAATGTGTACAGTAATAAGCTATAGTTATGCCAATAACACCTCTTGGAAAACAACTTATATAATGAATAAAAACATTTTTAATTTCTTCAGCATCCCTAAATCTGTTGTTATAGAAACATATTATGATAAATATCTGCAAACTTAAACAGATTTTTCCAAATAATTAACTAAATTGTATTTGTGAATTTATATTTTGTCTATGAAACTTTTGTTTCCTTCAACCATAATTATAATATTATTTCTACAAAACTTATTGCCTTATTTTGAGTTCAAATGAACTTATTATAACAATACTCAGCCACTCAGGTTTGTTTTATTTCAAAATTATATAAAAAAAAAAAAGTACTTAAACTGTTAAATTAATACCTAATAGCATTTATATAGGCAGTGCCATTTTAAATTTGTATAGTAGGATAAAAATAGTATATGTGCATTTATTAGTTATTTTATTGTAATTAAAATTGTGTGTATATAGAAAAACAATTTAATTTACTTACATAATATTATAAAAATACATTTTTATAATTAAATCTAAATTATAGATCAATGTATTCAATATTTAATATTTTTAAGTTAATATAGTTACTTTTTATATTATATAAATTAATGGGTTTATGTTTTGATTATAACATCATAAAATAAAATTAATGGCTTTATTAACTGTACAAACTAGGTTTTAATCAAAAAAATAATGATTACATTTTAAGAATAATATAATTTAATTATAAACATTTATAATTTTTTAAGTTCTTTGTATTATATTTTAAAGCCTAACTAAAGCAACTTATTCAATAATTTATTTATTTTTTAAGCCTCAGCAATATATTTTTATCCATTAATATAGTGTCCAATATTTTCGAGTATCCATATTTA